AGCCTCCCCCTTCCAAAAACAAGGTTAGCATGACAACCAAAGCACCAGTCACCATGGTCTCTAACCACATCCGTTGGGGCTTGGCATGCTAAAACGTGTGCCAGCTCTGTTGTCTGTAGGGCACTCCTGGCCACAGTACATAGCAAGCTATAATCAAGTAAGAAACCACCACATTCATATATAACCAGCTCAACATAAATATTCATTAAATGTGAAAACCTATGGTGATGCAATGTTGAGGCTGCAAATTTAAACACAAGAGTCAGGAAGTGCAAAAATTACCACTGCCACTGGAACTTGAAATCACTCATATGGCACATTTAATACTATAAACCAGTTCATATGTCCCCTAGAGATTTATACCTAATAACATCAAAACTATGTTATCTTGTGAGGTGATATGAGGATGAGAGTAACACTTATTGATGGACACTAGAAGCTATGGAGTGGACATGCAATGAAAAAGCAACCATGAAAACCATCTAACACCAGTGAAATACAACATATCATAGATAGATTCTGGAATGTTCCAAAGGTCTGCGTGCCCGTGTAATCAACACTGTCCCACAAAAACAACAGTAAATACATAAATACATGGCTGTGCAGTGGTACACAACTATAATCCCAGCACTCAGGAGGCTGAGGCAGGAGGATAGCAAGTCCAAGGCCAACCTAGGCAACTTAGCAAGACCCTGTCTCAAAAAAAAAAAAAAAAAGGACTGGGGAATGTGTTCAGTGGTAAACCACTTGCCTGAAATGTGCAAAGTCCTGGGTTCAATCCCTAATACTGAGGGCAGGGGACTGCCAACATGTAGAAGAAATAAACAATATTTAATAATTTCCCAAATGCTTACCAAAAATCCACAGAGTAAAAAAATCAAATATTCACTAAATTGAAATCTAAAATTCCTCCACACACAGCCTGTTGACTTCTTCAGAAATACTACTACAGTCCTTTAAAACTTTGCTTCACACCCAAACTTAAACACAAGATCAAGGCGCACACCAGAGGTGTCAAAGGAGGAAAGAAATTCTAAGGAAGCCATATGGTATAAATTTGTTATCACATACTGTCGCCTCTGGATCATTCTGGAACTACATATAACTACATACAACTTCTGCTGTTCCCCTAAACTACCAATGTTTTAAGTGATTCAAAATATACATTATTTAAATTTAAAACTCTACAGTCAGGCTACTATATTCTCTTCTCCAGTATGCTTGGAACAATGTACCCAGGGCAGTCGCACACCAGACTGGAAGGAGTCAGAGTGTCCTCTCACGCAGCCTTCTTCCTCCGGGCCTCCAAGAGAGGACAAGCAAAGGGAAATTATTTTGGGAACCTGGCCTAGGTTCTATTTGGAATAGGCCTAGGACACACCCGTGCCTAAGAATTACTTGTGAATATTGCTACAATCATAGAAAGTTTTCCTTAAGAGTCAAGTCGTTTTCTGGCTACACTAACACCCCCGCTTAAAGCAATAAAATCTAGAAGCAATTCAGCTCCATAAACATCTGAGTTTTCCCCACAAGGCAACAGACGTATGAAGTTTTCTGGCTCAGAGGAACATGCTGCTGGAATCAGGAAAGGACTGAAAGCTGTGTGCAGGTGGGAGAGCTGGAAGAGAATAAAAGGAGCAGAAGGTAAAGATGGGGGTCAGGACTGTTGAGGCATAGACATCTCAGCAGAAAGGCGATAAAAACGAAAAGCCCAAAGGGAGGAAAGAAAGCCCAGCACCCATTGAGAGAAGAAGGGCAGAAACAGAGGCCTACACCCCAGAGCCAACAGCATGAAGACTACAGCAGTAGCGAACAAGGGGACATCACAAAAGATCCTGACCTCTGGTGATGACACCATCAGAGGTTACTTGAGAAAGATGAATCTGGAGGAAAAGGAAGAACTGATGGAAGGAAAGAGAATGGGAAATGACTTCGGCAACAGTGGGCACGAAGAAGTGAAGCCGGGCCAGGGATTTAGCGCAGCGGTTTTGACACCTGCCCTGAAAGCAAGCGCAAGGGCCCAAGTTCGATCCCTGGTACAAAAAAAAAAAAAGCGGGTGGGGGGGAGTCAAGAGGAGTCACAGGAAGCCAAGCATCATCTTGAAGACACCACCATTTTTTGACTCATGATAAGGTAACTTGATTTAACTTTTGAAATAGCTGTGTAAGTCAAGTTTACAGCAATCTTCACATGTCCTTAGCTATCTGTTTACCACCTACTTCAAGACTAAGAAACTCTGTAAAGATGCTGTATCTCTGGGTACTCAATGATATTCCAAAAGGCACATAAAGATGCTAAACACAGTGTCAAATTTCAGGGGGAAAAACATACAATTAGTATAAAGAAAAGCACTCTGTGTCGAGTGTGGGACAAATCTTAGCAACAAGGACCACCCAAATGTCAGGTGGCTTTTTGGGGCAGAATGGGCTCCCAGATAAGAAGAACTAAGGTAATACAAGTGTACCACTGAGGCACAGAAAGACGTTTCTTAAAGCACTAGGCTCATGAAAGATTTTCTGGAGCTCATTCATCAAAGTGGGATGCTGTTCTAGGACAACCAACCATCAAAGAGCTCCAAAGCTTGAGACCCAGTTCGAGCTTCTTTTATGACCAAAGGCTTAAAGGCCTTGACCATAATTCCTTCACTGTAAAATAAGATGAATCTTGCCATTTTCCAGTTGCTCTTAAACTCAAAAAGTAATTCTTACAATTAAAAAGAAGAAAAGAAGGAACATAGATTCTTAGGGAGGCACAAGTCAAGTGAGAAATCCAAGAGACAGCCTGGGATTTAGCTCAGTGGTTCCACTGCCTGCCTTGCAAGCACAAGAGCCAGAGTTCAATCCCTGGTGACAACAACAACAAAAATCCAAGAGAAAATGGACACGTCTACACCAAAATAAAAACAGCATGTTGGTCACATCAGGGGCAGTTTGGCCTTCACCAGCAGCGTGACCTGACGCTCCTAAGGCCCTCAGATGTACATCTGAAGCACAGGATGTTTGAGGAAAAGAAAGGAAACTCACCAAGCACAACTGGAAGGAATTTAACTTTAGCACTTACAGAAATAGAAAGAATGGAAAACTCCAATGCCTGCACGGACCCGGCACCAGAACTTGTCAGTGAGAGCAGTAAGCCAGGCAGTGTCGTAAGGACTTGCTAGCTGAAGGACTCATGCCACAACTAAATGAGAAAGCCCTCTGCTACTCTACCACATCAGGCTCTGACCACGCAGGAATGTGAACTCAATGTTGCCAGACCTTTTAATTTTTCAACCAGCACGGATGTGCATATAAAATTTCTAGGTATTTAACCAAAATGAAACAAAATACCTAGAAGCTGTTTTCAACCCACAGCCTGCTATTTAGATGCAACTCTGTTTGGTGTTTAGCTCTATACTAACATCTCTGCCCACCAACAACTTTTTCACAGTGTCACTTAGAATTCAAGGACAGATTCATTGGGCCTTTCCAAACCCAGGCTGTTCATAAGCAAAGAGCCTGCTCCTTGGAAAAAGGCTGCACCCTCTCAGACGACAATCTGCTGTCAAGGGGAACAGAGACATGGTGATTGTAACACGCATCTCCTCTAGGACTCCAAGCACAGCCATCTGCCCAGACTGCCACCTTGTCACTGCCCAGAACACAAAGGCAGGCTCTACTCCTGCACGGGGCTCAGAAACACCAGTAGGGCAGAACTCAGATACCATGCCAGGCACTTATGTAGAACTTCCTATAATTGAAGTCTCATGACAGTGAAAATTCCAGTATTTCACTGTTTACTCTAGGAATACAGAGATTTTCACTTTATAAAGGTTTTTGTTATTTTTATGCTTTTAAAAAAAGAAATAAATATAACTCATTGTGAACAAGGTACACTGAGGAAAACAAACTAGAACCAACCTTCTGAAGAACAATCTGACAACAGGAGCAAGAGTCATAAAGAAAATATATTCTTCACAGTATTACTTATAATAACAGAAAATAACATGTTAGCTACTAAATATTTGGGTTTTTTTGTTTTTGTTTTGGTTTTGGTTTTTCTTGAGACAGGGTCTCACTATGTAGTTGAGACTGACCTGGAACTCACTATGTAGCCCAGGCTGGTCTCAAACTCACAGCGATCCTCCTGCCTCAGCCTCCCGAGTGCTGGGATTACAGGCATGAGCCACCACGCCTGGCCAGTTACTAAATATTTGGTAACAGAAAAATATTCAAAGCAGACAAAAGGTTGTAAGCACTATATGTTTTTGGCACAAAGGGGAAAACTTGTAAAAGCATCCGAAGCACAAAAGCTGTACTAGAAAATTTTCTCACATTTTTCAGTACTTTCCAAGTATTATATAATAAATCTAAATTATTTTTACAATTAAAAAGAATTATAGCCGGGCGTGGCGGTGCACACCTGTAATCCCAGCACTCGGGAAGCTAAGACAAGAGAATCACTGTGAGTTCGAGATCAGCCTGGGCCACATAGTGAGTTCCAGGTCAGTCTCAACTACATAGTGAGACCCTATCTCAAAAAACCAAAAAATAAACAAACAAACAAAATTACAGAATCTGTAAAGTTCTGGGTATAAGTAATAAAAAATGAGTTAATTCTAACATGTTTGCCTAAATCTCACCAAAATACATCTGGGTTCTCAGGCAAGTGGGGCATGAGTTTGGCTTCACGGGAACCAAACCAATTCCAGTCTGTGACACTGAGAAGCTTTTTTATTTAAACTCTCAGCATGTTTCTCCTCTAAAGTGATGTTAACTGAAAAGCCCAAGTTTGTATGGGAGAAATCAGAGCAATAATATCTATAATACACAAACCATATTATGGATATGTAAACGCTACTTTTCTTTTCCAGACTGGTATCTCTAGTAGGAATTCAATAATTGCCTGAAAACAACTTAACCTAGCAAATCAACTCAAGTTCAAGCAGAAAATTAACTTTTAATCAAGGATCTTACAATTAAAACTGTGCCAACCTTACTCCTTTAGTTTAAAAATGTACCTGCTTCCGTGACAGGAGGCCAAAAGTTCCCATCCCAACATACATTTTCAGATCAAACTTTCAGGATCATCAGTTTATTTTCACCAAATCAGCTCTCACATCCAGTTTCTAAACAATCATATCACTCTGGCTGCTGGAAAGAGAAGGGGATTAATAACAAGTCTTACAACACATCTTAAGAGTAATAAAAATAAAATGCTCTCCTTTGAACCACACTGGGCTGGCTGATCTTATTCTTTTCACACTGTCATGAGTCAACAGAGCTGCAAAAAGTCAGATTTTAAAACATCTCATTCATGTTACAAATAGAACAAAAGCCTCCACTTTTTACCTCCTACTTATTCTGTTTGACAGGTACAAAGGCACGTCTCCACAGGAGGGTTATCAGCTTTAACCTCAAAAGCAGACAAAGATGAGTCAAAAAGGCCAGACTGCTCATATCCACACACTGTGCTGGATAGATATACAATGAACTGCCCAGGCCCAAACTCAGTACCAGGGCCAACTTCCTCTCCCAGGGATTCTTCTGTGCTCCACAGGCTGTGTCCTACCAGACAGGACATGTCCTAGTGAGAGGTAACTGTTTGCTTGGTGTCTGGCCCCTACGCTCACTTGTCTGCAGGCAGGGACTGAGTCTTACTCATCCATGTTCCCTGCCTCTCCCCATCAAATGTCTGCTGGGCAGAGGGCACCACTAAATATTTGCCAAAGGAAGGAACAGAGAAAATTCACAATTTCGGGTTCCTACAGTCTTTTAATCAACATCTAGGTAGTGTGCAGCCGGTGCAAAGTTAGAAAGGTGACAAACAGGGGACATGACCTTTTTGTAGAAATCTGTGCAGACTCCTGAATGACTCTAAAAAGTCAGCCACAGGAAGGAGGTGTGTCTCAAACCAGAAATCCCTTTAAATGCCAGAACACTTCACCCGTTCCAGCTTTCCTAATAGCCAAAACAACAGCGGAAGTGCCATCGAGTGACAGTTGTGTACTTCAAGTCACTGGCCCCTCTTCCCAAACTTGGCAGCCTCCCTCTTAGTGGAAAAACAAGTTAGAGCCTTCTGTGATTAAAAAAAGAAGAAAAAAGGAAGGAAGGAAATAGAACTCTGTGAGGATAGGGGGGTTTCTCAGCTGAAGTTACACATGCATTTCTTTTTCTTTTTTTTTTTTTTGGTACCAGAGATCGAACTTGGGCCCCTACACTTGTGAGGCGGGCAGTGGAACCACTGAGCTAAACCCCGGGCCCACCAGATGCATTTCTTCGTTATCTTTCTAGGTTTGAACTTTAATCTCAGTGCCACCATCAGTTCACATAATCTCATCATAAGAAAGGCCAAGTGAAGCAGTGTTCTGAAAACAGAAAAGTATTAGAATCATTCAGACAATGGTTTGAATCCCACCTCTACTACTGACTTGGTCAGTGACTCTGAAAAGTAATTTTACCTCTCCAGTCTCAGCTTCTTCTACCTTGCCCATTAAATAGAGCGACATTTGAGTGTGGTGGTACATTCCTGTAATCCCAGCACATGAGAGGCAGAGAGAGGAACATCACTGCAGGTTCAAGGATAGCCAAGGCTACACAAAGAGTTCAAGGCCAGCCTGGAATACATAAGTGATAGCCTGCCTCAAGAGACAGAGAGACAGATAGAGCAAAGCCCTGTGCCCTGGGCACTTGCTCATTAGTAGCTTTTGTTTTTTAAATGTGGTCTCTATGTTGCCCAGGCTCACCTCCAACTCCTGGGCGAAGGAATTTTCCTGCCTCAGCCTCCCTAGTAACAGACTACAGGTATGTGCCCCTGTGTCCAGCTTCATTAGCTTTTTCAAAACTCTGGCAGAAAAAAACAACGAAGGACCCAAATCTAAATTAATTAGTGGAGAAAAGCAACTACTTAAATGTAATATACAATTAAAGAATGCCTGCAGGGGATTTAGCTCAGAGGTTCCACCGCCTGCCTTGCAAGTGCAAGGTCCCAAGTTCAATCCTTGGTACCAGAAAAAAAAAAAGAATGCCTGGATTTCCTCAGTTATACACCTGACCTACGTGACACTTCTACATCTTGTCTTCCCTAGTATACCCTGCCCACGTTACAGTCAGGGAGAACACTCTGCACCTCTAGTCAGGCGCACTGATTAATCCTGGGATATCCCTATCCTCACTATGTGGCCCTTGGCAAGATGCTTTTCCTCTCTGGATTTCAGAGAAATTGAATGACTGTATTTAGTTCTTTTGATTATGCAGATTGATTTACGTAGCATTTTTGTCATGAATTACAAATCCACATTCTCCCGACTAGGGAAACAATGCCAAAAGCAAAGATTTCATATAGTGTATCTTCAGATTAATGATGATCCTGAGTCAGGAATGATGGCACATCTGGGTAATCCTAGCACTAAGGAGGCTGAGGCAAGAGATTCGCCATGAGTTCAAGGCCAGCCTGAACTATACACAGTGAGACCCTGTCTCAAGAAAACAAAAAACAAAAAATGATTATTGTGAATACCAAGTCTTTACAGTTATTCTCAAGGATTATAGCTACTTTCAGTTACACTAAGGATTCAAGCATCATAACACCTATCCACATCAGGGCTTTCTCAATACCTTCAAATGCTTTAACAGGAAAAGGGCAACTGCAGACTTTTGTAATGCCAAGTACCTTGCCCTATAACGGAGACCCTCCACACAGATCACTCTCATAACAACCTGGTATTATAATGCCAGCAGCCATACGGTGTTATAATCATCCTTTCCACCTAAGCAAAAAAGGAACAGTGATCCTGGAATCAATTAGCCACACCAATGAAGCTATTTTCTAAAATTAATACAACCCCCTAAGATCCACTGCCTACCTGATGTCTACTCTAAACCATCAGTCATTCAATAAATATGAAGGACCTGATAATTAGCAGGGATTCCAGGATGGGTCCAAGGAAGAGCAAAAACCCCTCTGGGATCCAGATCCACAAAGAAAGATGTAAGGAGCCACTCTGAAAGCATTTCAACACTGACTGATGGTTCCCCTTCTTTTATTTATGTATTTATTTTTTGGTACCAGGGATGGAACTCTGGACCTTGCACTTGGGAAACAGACAGCAGTACCACTAAGCTAAATCTCCAACCCTCCCCTTCATTTTTTTAATGAAATTACACTCTATTCTCCCAAATACCCAGATAATCATCTTCGTGCACTTCATTTAAATACAGAAAATTCTTTGGGTGACTATTTTCTCACTTCTCCCAAGGATGATACGTCACTAGTTGAAGATACACAGGAGAAGTTAATTCCTTATAGATAATGAATACCTTAAGGCCTAAGGATTCAATTTTGTAGAAAAATCCAGTTGGGAAGGATAATTTCTCCATGCACCTGTCTGTCTCCGTAAGAGACTGAACACCAGAAGACAACAGCAATATAACATCTGGCACCAAACAGGGCTTCTTTGGTAAACATCTGTCAAGTGACTATGCCAAGGGAGGCATGCAAACCTGCAGACCTCCCTCCAACTCTTGCCAGTCAGAGGCCCACATCACTCCACTCAAATTTGTAGTACTAGTCTATCTGATAACAAGTACTAGATTTTTCCTCTCCGGATAGGGAGCATCGTAGAATCATCCAAGGGATAAATCTGTATGTCTCCTCAGAAAAACAAAAGTACCCATTCATAAGAATGTCAAAGGTTCGTGGACCAAGCATCTCTGGAAGTCTGTGACCCTCAGGTTAAGAATTCCTGTAGCACCTTGTTAAAGATTAGATTCGAATTGATATCAAACTCCTAACCAGCCAAGCTCTACTTATCTGGCAAAAACAAAAATGAAGTTAGACAAAGCTGGGTTTCAATCCAGGTTAGACATTCACTACCTGTAAGAGATCAGAGAAAGGAATCTGTCCTTTGCCCTTCTTAGTCTCAATTTCCTTTCTGTAAAATGGGTTAGCAATAGTTGATAAAGCTTTATTCACGTCAGAATGCAAGGAGCAAACATTTAACACACTTGGCACAGTGCATCACTATTTTTCCTTTAGTTTATGGGTTCTGCTCATCTCCCACCCCCACATTCATGACTATGCAGAACTGTACTATATTTACATCAGATTCCAGGGTACAACACAGAAAACAAGAACCTAACATAAGGTCATAAAATATGGCCCTAATTTTCCTCCCAAATCAATTTAAATGCTTCATAGGTTTGAACCTATGACAAGACAGTTGGCAATCCCTTTCCATGTAAATCCAGGTCAGCCTCAGCACGCAATTGTTCTATCAGGCCAAGTCAATGTTTAGAGGGAGACATGGAAAGTTAATTTACAACGGAGATGAAAAGAAAGCGTCTGATCAAATGCTAAATTCCAAAAACACAATGAAAGGGAAACAAAGGAGAAAAATTAAGTTTCCTAAAATTATTCCCTGTGATACATTTAGTTAACAAAGGACATTTAAAGACCTCAATCAGGGTAGGGGATTTAGCTCAGTGGTTCTGCTGCCTGCCTCATAAGCGCAAAGACCAGAGTACCAATCTGATTCTTGGTACTAAAATAAATAAAAATAAAGACCTCAATCAGCCTTTCTAACCCATACCCAGCTCTCTCCTACCTCCAACAGCTAAAAAAATTGATTTAGTTCTCAATGTTCTCAGCTTCACGTCCATTCAACCCTTAGCTTAGGATCCAGTGGGCCACAGACTTAGCTTAGTGGTTCCACTGCCTGCTTTGCAAGCACAAGGTCCCGATTTCGATCCCCAGTACCAAAAAAAAAAACTTAGCATCCAGAAAGGCTGGTATTAAAAATTACACAGGACCTATCATTCCAACTCCTTCAACAAATGAATTTCTCAAGCATTTCTAAATATTTGACTTCAAGAGAAAAAAATGTATTCCTACTTTAAAACAATCTTTCATCTCCAGCAATGCCAATTTTCTTTGTTTGTTTAACCAATTCACACACCACTAGCCAATGTTTAATTGGGCCTTTATTTAACATCACCAACCATGTGAGCTGCACAGCCAAGACTAAAAGTTCCAGATAATGATCTCATTAACAGCAACAAATTGATTCAAAGATGAAATATTATCAATATATATGAGAACCCTTTAAAGTTCTACACTTCAGAACTCCAGAAAAAGTGTAATTAATTCTCTCAGCACTCAAACTGTATGCCTGGCACTCTTACACCACATGCAAATGACCTGTGATCTTGAACGAACAGGATGATAAAGGTAATTAGTGAAATTTCATACTTCCACAATCTGTACATCACAACTTTAACAAATGGAGAAATTTAAAATTAAAAAAAAATCTTCTTACAGACACTAGTGACCTCAGGATAGTTACATAGCCTCAAATGCAAAAGGGAAGCACCAAAGATCCTAGTATTTAATCCCTATCCTTTCCCTACCAACACACACACACACACACACACACACACACACACA